ATCATGATATTAATTATAATAATGAGATATTCGTTAAGTTTGAGTTAAAAAATCGAATCGTCATTTTTGTCTTATTAAAAATAATAATGTTAGATCTAATTAATATAATATATAATTTTACTTTATGATAACATATTTTACTAGTTTATTTCAAAATAATAAAATAATAGTAATATATATTACTATTTGATAAAATAATTTAAAAAAATTATTATTATTTTATTTTTTTTTTTTTGCATATGCATATAAAAGAGTGATTTTCGGAATGAATTCATTTAAGAATCTTTTAAATAATTTAAAAAACATTAGCTCTTTTAACAATTCCGTACGGGATTGCAATAATAAACTTCTAGAATTGGTTGCATGCATAAAAGTGCCAGTCCATTTTTTCCTCCAAAAACTTTACAATTATTGCATAGTTAGGGAAATCATTCATACTAATAATACTGTTTGAACAAATATTTAAACGTCAAGAATGGTTTTTTGAATTCAGCTCTTATATATTTATAATATTATTTATTTTTTCTTGAATGACTCAAATTAACAATATATAAGCATACTTTATGTGGTTGTGATATTTCAAAGTTTAATTTTAAATTTCTAATTTATTTTATTTATTTCTATTCATAATTTTGATTAATAATGTATTGTTGTATTCAGTTCTTTCATTTATGTATTTATAAACAATTTGTATTGTATGCAGAAGGTTTTATGTGTAATTATTGAATAAAAGAATTTATTTAATATTATCAAATTAATTAATCAGTGTTGCCTTAATGTCAGTGCTCTACACTTTCGCTAAATCAATATATTAAACTAAGTAAATGCTAATTTTTAAGTCCTAATTAATTGAAACTACACAATTACAAAACTGTTATATAAAAATTGTATAATAAACTACTAATAAAATCGGAAATTGTTACAAAATGCGAAATAATAAAATTTAAAGGGCAAAAATTGAAATTATTGCAAAAATGTAAAGGGAATATAGTGAAGGAAATGGTTTTCAAAGAAATATGCTAAAGACAGGCATGGATATTGAGCTGTTTTAGGATTTCCGGTGTTAGACCTGGAATCGTCTCAAACCAAGCTAACAAAACTAAACAACTTAATAACACAATTATTTCAAAGGTCTTTCCTAAGAGAAATTAATGATTAAAAACAAAACAATTTATTATCATAATTCACTTGTATAGTAGATTATCATGATCAATCCTATAATGAAAACAAGAAGGTTGAAAGTGTAAAATAGTAACTTTATTAAACTGTAGAGTTATAAGTCTAGTCCTAAGACTTATTCAGAAAACTATCTGATTTTACTCTGTCAACTCAAGGTCAACTTACAGGTCTATTTATATAAAATTGTTAACTAATACTATACTACGCCTTTCAATAAATACATATAATGAAAATAATATAAGTAATGAAAAATAGACTATATAATATTTATATTAAAAGATAAACTATTCAATACATGTAATATAAAGTTGACTAAATGATACATGTATTATATGTTTAACATGTATGATATTTGACACAGTTGAAGATCATTTAAGGTATAGTATAAACTGCGGCTAACAATTCTTCCCTTCTAATTTTTGAACTCTAAGAGAAATTCATCAGTTTCCTCCTCATTTCTGATAGAAAGTTGGTGAGTATAATTAATTAAAGCCCTGAATTCACAAGCCTTGAGTTGTCTTATAGTTGCAAAGTTAATAATTTGAGTATGTTGGATTTGTTCTACTTCCAAAAACTCAAATAAATAATAGATTCTGGTAACTCCTAGTCGATAATAGATAGTCATCATATTTTGCAACATTATTCTTTCAGAAGGATTAGTTGATTCAGTTTCCAAGAGTTGTCCTAGATAGTAAGCATTTACAAGGATAAGTACACGATCTCTTATTTTACATGCTCTTAATAATGCTTGATATATACTTTGGACTTTTTGCTGTAAAGTCATATCATTGTTAAAGGGTGCTCATAGGGATTTCAAGAGAAGAATCTCGTCCTAAATCTTCACATAAGGGTTGTAATCGTCGAGAATTAATAATTTCAGATATTTTACTTTATATTTTTATATATCAAAAGGGAAATATATAAAAAAATATAAAATAAACAAATAAGAAAAAAAAATAACTAATCTAACCTTCATGATAAGCTTTTAGTAATTGCACATTTACTGGTACACGCAAAACTCATCCTTCCATCTCACGTAACTTATAGGATCCATTTATCAAGATCTCATGAATGTAATAAGGTTCTTTCCATTTTGGGTCTAATTTTCCAGATCTTCTTGTTTCATTTGCTGCATTGTAATATAAAACTTTATCTTCTATTTCAAATTGAGATTTCATTTTGATTTTCTTATCATGCTGATTTTTCTGTTTTTGTTGACTATTTGTGATCTGTAATTTAACCTTAGACCTTATGACTGGTAGATCATCTATTAATTCCTTATTCTGGTATTTACATTACCATGTGGTTGCTCATTTAAAGGATCGTTAGTAGGTAACTTTGCTGATTTTCTATATAATAAATAAAAAGGTATTATTTTGTAGTTGAGTATTAACTGGTATGATAAGCAAATAATACTGGCGCAATATAGAGATCTCACTCCTTATCATGTGTTATTAATTTTGCCAAAGATTCACTTAAAGTTCTATTAAATCGTTCTACAAGACCATTTGTTTGAGAATGATAAAGAGTTGAAAAGTTATGTTTGATCTGAATCTTTTCCATCATTCTTGTGATTAATTGATTATTAAAATGAGTTTTTCTATCAGATAAAATCTTTTGAGGACATCCATGTCGACATATGATATCTTCATAAATAAAATTAGCAACTTGTTCTGCAGTAGCTTCAGATAAGGCTCTAGCCTCAGGCCATTTCGTCATATAATCTATTGCTGTCACGATATATCTATTTTTCCTTTCTGTGATAGTAAAGGTTTTACAATATTAATACCTATCCTATAAAATAGATTTTCTGCATCTATTAGGTATAAAGGCTCAGTTCGTTTGTATTTTCCTTTTCTTTGATAAGAATCACATTTTTGTACATATTCTTATATACTTTCATATATTTGAGGCCAATGATATTGCGTTCTAATCTTGTCAAATACACTATTTGTTGATAAATGTCCTCCTAAAGGATCATTATGTGCCATATATAATAAAGCATCTAATTCATTAATTTTTCTTACTCTCAATAATTTTTCAGGAGTAATAGTTTTTACTTTATATAAAATATCAAATTTAATAATATAATTCTTTGATTCTTATTTAATTCTTTGTTTCTATTGTTGTTAAATTTGGTGGTAATGATCTGTTTTTAAATAGTTAAAAATATGGGTATAATATATGTCATCCATTTTGTTATAGAGCTATCTATTACACTGTAGACACTTATGCTTTCACTTTAATTATTATCTTAATAAAATTAGGTTTAATATAATGGAACTTCGTCAAGAAGTTCTTCAAGTAAATTTGCTAGTAAAATATCATTATTTGTTATTGTACTGCTAGTGGTTCTTCCCAAAACATATCATTACAAAGATAATTAGGATTCATATCAGATTGTATTTGTCCTAATCCATATCCTACAATACAATTATGAATAACTGTCCCATAAGGTAAATTCTTTTTACAGGCTTTGCAGTAGGTATGGATATGATGATTCTCAATATCACAATTAAAAGTACATTGAGACCCTCCTTTCACAATAGGTTGTCTAACAATAACTTGTTTAACTTTAATATATTCACGATAGATATCTTCCAGTTCATTCTTAGGTGATTGATATCTAACAGCTGTAATTAATGGTTCATTTGCAAATTGTTAATATAATTGTTTCTTAAACCATAATTCTTCAGAGTCAGGTATTGAACTTTCTTTTGTTGAAGAATGCCATTTAATTTCAGGTTCTTCATCACTAATAGATACCATAAAAATTTCACGAATATCTTCTTTTTTAGATTGTTTATCATTAATTCTTGACAGAGTATCAGCATTTGCATTATGCTTTCCTGGTCTATGCTGAATAGTGTAATTGTAGGGTTGTAATTCCATCATCTATCTAGCATGTTGTCTTTTTGGTATTTTAGATGTTTGTAACCATTTTAATGCTGAATGGTCTGTAATTAATTCAAATTTGGCTATGCATAGATAATGGTGAAAATGTTGAATAGCCCATACTATTGCTAAACATTCTTAGTCTATAACTGAATAATTTTTTTCTGCTGGGATTAAACTTCTACTTGCATAAGCGATAGAGTGTTCTCTTCCTTTCTTATCTTTTTGTGCTAATACAGCTCTCAAACCTATTCCCGATACGTTAGTATATAAATAGAAGTTTTATCAAAATTTGGATATTGTAGGATTAGTACATTAATCAAACAATTCTTTAAGTGATTAAATGCATTTTGTTGCTTCTCCGTCTATTCAAATATTTGATCTTTCTTTAATAAAATATTAATAGGTTTTGCAATTCGTGAGAAGTCTTTAATAAATTTTCTATAATACGAAAATAATTCTAGAGCAAATCGAACTTGAGATACATTTCTTGGTATTGGTAAATCTTTTACTTTTTCAATTTTTGCTGGGTCTGGTTGAATATCATCTTTTTCAACTATATATCCTAAAAATATTAAGTTAGCCATACAGAAACTACATTTCTTTAACTTAATCTTTAAATTAGCTTCTCTCAATACTTGAACGACTTGTTTAATATGATCAATATGTTGTTTAAAAGATTTTGAATAAATTATGATATCATCCAAATATACTGAGACAAATTTAGCTACATATGGTAGTACATAATTCATGAGTCTTTGAAAGGTTTCTAGGGCATTGCATAATCCAAAAGGTATTACGTTAAATTTATATAATCTAAATTAGTAATAAAGGCAGCTTTTCCTTATCCTTTCTTCCATTTAACTTGTCAGTAGCCATTAGCTAAATCTAAAGTAGTGAACTAATTTTCTGTTCTGAACGATTCTAGCATATCATCGATTCTAGGTAAGAGTAAGCGTTCTTCTTTGTGACTACATTCAGTTTTCTGTAATCAATGCTGTTAAACCAAACACTACGTCGTTAGGATAACATTACTAATAGGGAGTTTAAGTCATAAACTATGAAAGAAATAAACACAAATTTATTTATGTTGAAGGGTCAGGTCATCTTTATTGATGATTTATGTTTTAAGGAAATAGACATTGGCAAAGATATAGTTTTTATATTGTTAAGATTATACTTTATTAATTGTATGATTAAAACTTGTTAGTTTGTCAAGGCGACAATACAGGATATTTATATAAAATACAATTATAAGATAGAGATAATAAATATA